GATTTAAAATAGCAACTTTTTTACAAAAACTAACTTTTTCAACTTAATTTTTGAAAATGTTCCGGAAATACTGCGTCCTTTAAACATATATCAAATTAAAGCTTATTTTATGTACTGCAAAATGAAAAAAAAAATTTATCCCGACGACCTATCTTCTATCCGCAAATGGCTACCGTATTCAAAAATATGCTATTTTTCTATTAAAAGTCTAGGTTTTGTATTTTATTTTATTTTAAAATATCTTATTAGGAGAATATATTGACTTTCATGAATATTATATAATTTAATTGACATAGAATAAAGGTCATAAGATATAAGAAATGACAACTTTTTCATAAAAAATTTACTTTTTCCACTTAAATTTTTTAAATGTTCCGGAAAGTCTGACACTTTTATCTATATCGTAAATTAAAGCTAATGTAATGTACTTTTTTATTTAAAAAAATTACGGACTTTATTTTGTCTTCACGGTGAAAATGCCTACCAAATGCTATTTAAGTGTGAAAATTCTCAATTTTGTATTTTACATTTTTAACTTTATAATGCTATAACTTTTTGAAAAATGTATGGATCAACACAATTTTTTTATGAGAAATAATATTTTTTAACAATCCCTTTTTCATTCTACATACTTTATCTTAATCAGAATATTAATAAGGAAATAGCAGATCATGTAACTTTTCGAATAATCCACCAATTTTTTAAAATAAACACAAATTTTGAACTTGTAAGATTCATAGAATGGGATACTGTCTAAGGAGGAGTGGAGGAAGCCCTCACACTAGCTTTTCATGGGAAACAAATTATAGAAAATAATACAAGGGCCCAAAATTGTTGGCCCCTCCAATAAACATTTTCTGGCTACGTACCTGAGTAAAAGCACCATTTTTTTGACTTGCAACCCTTTTGATGGATGAAAAGTATGATTATCCAACTCAAAAGTATTGTTTTAAGGTTCATTATAAAACAATGTATTATAGTGAAAGCATTTATTGAAAAATAAAAAAAGAGACAAATAAACTTTCAAACATAAACCTTTCTCAGTACAAAAATAAAAATTAAACTTTCTCAGTACAAAGATAAAAAAATACCTTCTCAGTATAAAAATAAATAGCTAATAATTTTTCGGTAACAACATAAAGTAAAAGTTCTTAATAATAATATCTCAGTCTATCACATTTTTATGATTCTTGAAGAGATTTTATGTCATAAAACTTATCGTGGGTCATTTCGACAACTTTGTACCGATTTCCCGTTTTCTTGACTGAGCGAATCAAAGTGCGGTATGTCTCTGGTGTGTAAATTGGTCCAGATTTTAGGTGTCTTTTAATTTGTCTTTCAATGACACTGCACATTATCACCTTCATTTTGCGAGTGACCACGTATAAGAAATTTATGTGTAATAGATTTGACTTTTAAATTAATGACCGCATAAGCATAGATTGACAAAATGTACTTATTTTTCTGTTGACCGCCACAATTATCAGAGTAAAAAATAAGATCTATTTCTTTTTCCGGATCCTTTTCAATTTGAGTTTCTATATAGGCAAGGATGCAGGTACCAATTTCTACAGCTCTTCGAGATCCCTCAGTCTCGTCCCAAAAGTAGCAAGTAACGTCTTTTGCATTCAGGTCGCTGACAGTAAAATTCAGGCAATTAATCCTTGATTTGTAAAAAAACATAGATATTTGTCCTTTTAGGACTTGCATAACAGCTTGTCAGTCATAAACTGCTACTATTGTACTGTCTGTTCTGCTTTTGTTCATCTCTTTTTTTGTTCTTGCCAATGTCTTCTCTTGAAGGTGGTCTTCATATTTTTGGCATAGACGTTGCTTTTCTTCCTCATTGGCATTCTTGTAGCTCTCACATAGGTCACATTGATCCTTTTTGGGGATAAAAAATGAAATATTAAATTCGGAGTTGAATATTCTGTAGAATGTTGAGGCAGTGGCAAATGGTAAGTTTTTATGTTCACGGTCAGATTTATAATCTCGGTATAAGTCTACAAGAGATTTGTCACTGCAAATATATTCTCTAGTAGTCTGGGCACGAAGATAATGTGACTCTATTCTTGGTATTGAATTGATAAAGTCTATAACGCTTTGCTTTACTTGTTGATTAATTTTAGGTTGTTTTCCGTGTTTGCCTCTATGCTCAGCTTTTAGCACTCCCATGTCTATTTTCTTGGAAAGAGCAGTTTTAATAACTGTATTGTTTAAATCAAGAGTAGATTTAAAAAAAGTTTTACACACTCTTATTTTCGAAGTAAAATGCTGTATTCGCAGCTCTTACATTTTGTGTGGACGAATATCTATATTTAGGTTTAATTTTATGAGAGTGTCGTACGATAAACTCTCTCTGTTTTTGAAGGTCAGCCAATTCCCTATATGCATTGAAAAGTTGTTCCCTTGATTGATCATTCATTTTGGATGTGCAACTTAACCTACAGTTGGATTTACAAGGCGGACAAACCCTTCTCTCTGAAACATTTTTCTTTGACTTAGATAAGGAATGATAGGCTTTTCCAGAGTTTCGAAGCATTTTTGCAACCTTGGCTTTCCATCGCAACGGCTTATTCACTATTTTTTTCCTTTTTTCTCTTCTTCGGTAGGCTTTTCTCCATGATCTTCAAGACTTGCAATATTGCTACTGCTTGAAGAGCTGCTTCTGTTTCTTGAACTTGTCGAGCTGCTACTTTATACGGATAAAAACGAAAATCTGTCCTTATGTGATTTTTCTTTAGGATCAACTAAAGTCGGATCCCCATCAGAGTCATCAAACTCGCTATAATCACTTATGGCTGGCGATGATACATAGGAATCGGTTTGTTTCGAAGTGCTTGGCATATCAATGAGAGGATTGTCAGCTTCCTGATTCTTAGACGTCGAGGCTATCTCTGGTGATCCATTTTGGCTGATATTCTCTTTATTGTTATTAATAGCCAGGCTGACTAACAAAAGGCCACATCCATTCATCTTTCTGAAACAACAGAAGGTATATTCAAATGTACCATCAAAAGTGCAACAACTCAAAACAACTAATTTGAAGCTCTAATGATTATAATTTTGAGAATAGTTAGTCTAAGATCTTTTGTAAGGTTGAAAATATATTGCACAGCATTATACAAATGGCATTTGCTTTAATTGTTTAAGAAATAATCAGGATATAAGATCAATTCAGCAAAACAGGTTCAACTTGAAAAGTTGAATATTTCTGTTCAAAAGAGATTCAACTCAAAATAAACATAACACTTTGACTTACCTTAGACAGAAAAACTGTGTTAACTCAAAATATTTCACTAAATATCTGTCGATTTTAATGAATTTAATCCAACAAAACTGTAACAACTCGAAATATCAAGCTTTTTTAGTAGAGAGGCACGCCTTTCCTGTTCGCGATGCTGGTGTAAACTAAAATTGTTACTATTTTGGTGGGACAATTATGAGCTCACTCATTCAACTAAAAAGACTCTTAGCGCTCTCTATCAAAATCTAATTGAGATACAGTTGAATCGGTTTTGTTGGCATACGCAGCATGATTTCTAGAATTCGAATTATTAGTTAACTCAAAAACACAATATTTTGACTTGTTACAGTTTAGATCTAGATGTGCGATATTTACACTTATAATTGACTTTACGACTTTAATGAGTGGATACTTAATTAATATAAAAGATTCAGCGAGCAAATTAACAAAAGATTTAATGAAAGTGATTCAGTGGAGAGTCGTCCACGTTCGACCCTATAACTCTTGAATGAGTAGCTGAATACTGGCGCGGCGGCGGCCGTAGGCCCGATACATTAAAAAGGGCTAAAGCAAGCATTGAATGTTCTAGAAGGACTAGAGGGTTGCTGGTAAATACTTTATATACAAGACAAAGGGGCTTCCGTTCCCATGATTAATATATATACTATTAAATTATACAATTACAATTAGGCAGCAAAGAGCCAGTTCACAACAATAAGTTAGGTATAAACTTTCTATAATAGTTAATCAATCCAAAAAAAGTTTGCAAATGTTTTTTGGATTTGGAATTTGAGTAATAGCTTTGATCTTTGCTGGGTCTTGTTTGCACCCGTCTTTGTTAATAATGTAGCCTAAAAATTTAATTTGTTCTTTAAATAAGATATATTTTCCCTTCCATACTGTTAAATTCATCTTTAATAAAGCTAGGGCTCTCAAATATTCTTGCTCATTATCACCAAATATTAATACTTCATCAAAATATATTTTGATGTTATTAATGTGTTTAAGCTTTTCACTAAATCTGTTTAAAAATATTCCTACTGATGAATTTATGCCAAATGGAACTCTGTTGTATACATAAACATCTTTGTGCGTGCTTATGGCCATTAGCTCCTTTGATTTTTCTTCTAAACTAAATTGTAATTGGCTTAGATCTATGATTGAAAACTTCTTTCCTGTTTTAATTTCCACCATTAACTCCTCTTTAATTGGAACAAGGGCTTTTTCTACTTTTATATATGGATTTACAGTTAATTTATCATCTCCACATATTTTTATATCACTTGATGGTTTAATTATTGGTACTATTGGTGATCCCCAGTCACTACATTTGACTTTATTGATTATATCTTCTTTTCCCAATCTGTCTAATTCCAGTTCAATTTTGTTCTTTAATGCTAATGGTATAGCTCTATATCATCTGTAAATACCTCTGGGTATTTATTAAATAATTATTGTTCCATATTAATATATTTAATATCTGATACATTAAATATATTTTGTAATTAAGTTACATTCGATTGACTTTCTAGTTAAACATCTATTTTCTGTATCCATTCTATACATATGAGTATTTATATTTTATAATATACCAGTTTCCTTTGAAATTTCTATTATACTTCACCTCAATATTAATATATCCTAATGTTTCGACTGTTTATTTAGTGTAATATTGATGTTTTAATCGATTGTTTTCAACCTTATTTTTCAGATATGATGGAAACTGAAGCACCCGTATCCAGTTTTATCTCCACCAATTTGTTTTTTACCAAGACTCTCAACTTAATGGGAACCGTTCCCTTATCTGCCTTGTCAATATTTTTAATATGATATAGTTTATTAAAACTTTCAGCTAACTCATCCATACTATCATCACTTTCTTTACTATTGTTTACTATTGTTTACTTTTAACTCAGAAATATAATTTATTTTCTTTGGTTTCTTATTTCTACAAACATAAGATAAATTACCAACTTTTTTACATGTGTTGCATGAATACTCCTTGTACCTGCATTGTGAAAATGTGTGATTGTTTCTTCCAAAGCACAAGCAATGTCTTTTTTTCATATTGTTTACATTATTTTAATTTTTCCTGATGTGAAATTGTTTCGTGATATTCTACTGATTTGTATTGTTTGAATTAATTTGCGGTTTGTACCTTTCATTTTTTATATAGTTAAGTTCTTCAATTTCGCTTCGTCCCTCTGTATCTTTATCTACTCCTCTTGTAATGCCTCTTTTAACGCATTATCAAAAGTTAGGTCTTTCTCTTTTAATAATCTAAAATGACGTTTAGGTCTCTTAGGTGTTCAACAAATATTCTTCCAAAATTGCAGTGATTGGATAGTTTTTTTAGCCCTCTAACATACTGCTGGATGCTTTCCCCTTTTTTTTGAGTCCTGTTATTAAATTTGATTCTTTCAGATATGAAATGTGGTTTTGGGTCGAAGTATGATCCTAATTTTTCTTTGATTTGTTTGTAAGTCAGTTCATCCAGCTTTTTAGGCGAGCATAAGTTTTTTAGTATTTTGTATATGTTTTTATATACTACTGCCAACAACGTTGGGACTTGTTTTGCTGCCACTATATTATTGCACTTTACAAATATGTTGAATTTTTCCGTATATGATTCCCAGTCGCCGACGCTGGGATAGAACAGCTCCATATTTCCGATTGCTACACTCATAATTTTACCTGTTTTATTCTCATCGCCACTTTGTTATGTATCTCTTTATTTAATATGAGGAACTTTAATTTATAATAAACTTAACTTAACATGATTAATAATTATAAAATCTAATGTATATATATATATATATATATAATGTTAGGTTATGCTACAAATGAATAATACAGTGTTGATACATAATACAACAATATCAAGTACTGATAACATACACAACATAACAATTTGTTTCTATCAGCGCCATTGTGACATTAATCTTAAATGTCTCCTTATCCACATTGGTATATATAATATTTTATAATTCATGAATAATACATTTAATTGTTATGCTTTGAAAATTCATTCTACATTCATTCATTCAAATATGTGTCCGCCAATTAAATGTTCTTAAAAAACAGTTTGTAATGTTGCAGAATTTGACTAGTTTTTTTTATAAATCTTATCAATTAGAGGTGTGTGCAGTAGGTGTAAAGTATTTTAATAGTTGTGTATGTGATAACCTCCACTAGTCAACCGGTCTGATATCTGTCATCCTATCGTCATCAGCTGACCGTCACTCTGCACCTGTACCAATATTGTTGTATTTCCCCCCAATGAACGTGTTCAAAGTTGGCACCACCACCACCCGGCGTCACGATCACCGGGCACTTACAAATGCCACGACAACGGATTTTTTTTTCCCAACCATACTACCGAGGCGTCAAGTCGTGTTTTCTGTATATTTTTGTTGTGAAAACCACGTTTTTTTTTGTACATTTTTTTTTTTGTCCTCCGTTTTTTTTTATTAAAATAAAACGTTGAGTTGATCTGCCGTCTACTTGTGGTGTCAACCAGGCTGTATTTTTTTTTTTCCGTTTTTTTTTAAATAAAACGTTGAGATGCCAATGATGATGGTGATGTGAGGAACAACTATGGTCGGTGGTGGGCCGTCACTCCTCGAGAAACAATCAACGACAAGTATCAATAAAACTCCCCCTTTGTACCCTTTGACAATGTTGTGTATATAGCACCTCTTTCTTCTTTTTTTATTCTTTCCTTATGAATATATATAACAATATTTATAAATCTTCAATAATTAAATAATTAAAAAATGTTATTATATTATACATGGCCTCTTTTTTTTCTCTCAATACTTTTCTCTCATTTTTATTAATATTTGTTTTTTTTTTATCAAAACCTAGTAGCTCCGTCAACAAGTACTATCTTGCTTGGCGCGGCTAATAGGTCACTGTCCAGTGTTCCACCGGGCAGTGGGTAAATAGTAGGCCCTCCGTTTTAGCTGAAACCTTACAAGTTTCACCAATATCAAGACGCTATTGTAAGCGCGTTAATAGAACTCGATCACGTTGATGAGTTTGATAATATCAAACATTGATAATATTGCCGTTGATTGCTGAAATAGAAAACATTTTTTATGATATTAATGCTGTTGCGTCCCTAGTTCAAAACGTGAATAAACCGCATCCCGCTGTTACTGCGCCCAGCCATTCTCATACGTTATACAACAACATGTATGCGAATACGAATTTAAAATTTAATGGTAGTATCACAGACTAGACTACTTTCCGTAATACATTTGAATCTATTGTGAACATCGATTCTAATAAAATTAGGCAATTCGTTTGTCCGGATCCGCGCTTGCTGTCATAAAATTTGTACCAATTAGGGAAGCCAATTACTATATAATGTGGAACGCGCTTACCGATAGGTATGAAAATAAAAGAGTTAGCAACGCCACACTTGGACAAAATCTTTTCATTTCAACCTATGAATAGTGAATCACTTTCATCTTTGCAACTTTTTTTGAATGTTCTGACTTAAGACAAAATAATACAACACACTCGCGTGAGTTCATACAAAAATATTCTCCAAATATTAAATTTAAAAACCTAAAAGGATAGGAGATATAATTTGTATGTCTTGTTTCTGGAAAATTTATTAAAAATTGAAGATTCCTTCCTTCATAATAAATAGTCTAATAAATTTTAAAATTAAACTTTATTCTATACGAATTTAAGACCTCTTCTACATCCCACTATTATTTAAAAATATTTTGCATGTTTTTCCATTAATTTAATTCAATCTGCTGGTAATACGTTATCTCTTAAGAATTTATTTACAAATTAGCTTGTTAAATATTTTTATTGTTGTTTTCTTATTAGAATATTAATGTAATTTTTATAGTGTTATAATATGTAATATTGTTTTTGTAATTGTAAATTTAGTAATTTTTATATGTTTTTGTTTTTACTCTATTAGTTAAATCTTTTTCTTCTTTTCTTTTTCCTCGCCTTAATCCCAACTACTTGGGGTCGGCCACCCTTATCCTAAACTTCCACTTGACACGATCTCCCACATCATCTACGCTCACATCAGCTGTCCTCAAATCGCATTCAATAACATCCCTCCATCTCTTTTTTGGTCTTCCTCTACCTCTTATTCTATTAGTTAAATCAATTATTGTAAATCATTGTTATCATTATATTATAATTTGTAATGAATTGGACTGAGGTCTATTAATGAAGAAAATAAATAAACTTCGAAATTATTTATCTGTTATTTATTATTGAATTTATAAATAGATTATCGAGTGAAAATATGTGAAATACTACTTTATTGTTTTGTAAGTGTCGTAACACAAATAAATGAAAAGAGGACTACGATGACGAAGATGATGTATGTGTATACAACGCTGATGTTGAGTCTGCTGACTGGGTATTCACATGCGTGTAATCATACAGCAATTACCGTGCTCGGCTGACACTCCGGGTTAGCTGTGGGTGTCCAAAGGTCGTTGTTATAGGAAGGGAATGAAGGTAACATCTAGGTATGAGGTGCAGACGAAGTGCAAGACACAAGTACTCTGAAATGTTGAGGACTAGAGTAGGTAGGTGAAAAAGGAAAAACAAAGACTTGACTTTATACAGTAAGCCGGACAGCGACAATCGAGCACTGAGACTGATAAATGACACAAAGCACTGGAGTCGACTGACGAAGATGGCCAGGTCATTTGGGTTTTTATAATAATTTGGACTATTGCCAATTTAACAATAAATAATAATTGTTAATTCATCAGTCTCTAGAAGCGGGTGTGTTGTCTGTATTTTGGTATAATAAATTTTCACAATAATGGTAACGTGACACCATCACATTAGTATACATTGGACACTGTAAAGTTCAAAGTCAACATTATATAATTATTATTAAATTTATTGAATCATTTTAGCTTCGATGCAAAGCTGAGAAGGTATTAATTTTACTATGATGTATTTTTTTTTTTTTTGTGTCTATGAACGCTCAAACTCCGCTTTCGTTGGACTGATTTTGATGAACAATACGTCAAAAGATCACAAATCGTATCTAGTCGAAGACAATACCCTCAAAAATTGAAAAAAATTTCCTTGTTCCTCGTAAACAGGGTCGGGGGGGGGAAATTCCCCAGAAAATTATAGATTCATAAATCACTAATTTTAGACATTTTTACAATTTTTAGCTTCGATGCGAACCTAAGAAGGTATTAATTTTACTATGATGTGTTTTTTTTTTAACTACTATATTATTTTTATAAAAATTACAATATTAAATTATTGAATATTAATTTCATACTAAGTTTAATTACTAAAATTATTATTTATTCATATATAATAATTATAAATCAAATAACTAATCAGGATAAAATTAAGGGAAGAAGAGTTATTGTTGCTTTTGAAATAATCTACCAATTTCTTAAAATTAAACACTATCTACAGATTTGTACCGAACCATTTCTTATGATAGTGATTTTAATCAGTGTCAGATATCATCTATACTTGTCCCAACTATGCCACTTCTATATTGTACCGCGACCCAATTGTGCTACTGTTTTTTTTTTATTTTATATAGACCTCAAGTAGTTGGAATTAAGGCGATAAAGAAGAAGATAGACATAGAAAACATTAAAGATCTAATTGTAGAAAATTAATCCAGTAATTTTGAAGACGAAGTTGTCAAAACAATTAATCCTAAAGAAACAACTTTATTAGTTAGGTGTGCAGCTCACACATTAAACTTTTCCATTGAAGATGGGCTTAAAATTTCAATTATTCAAAAAGTTTTTGTCTTGCAAGACAATTAATCAATTACAACACTTGTTCATATTTAATGATAATTTATTTTAAAATATTATACCTCACAATTTAATCTATAAAACATTTTTCAAATAATTACAAATTATTATAATAAGTGTTAAAATATTTTACTGCTAATATTTATTTATTATATATATTCTCTGTATTTTGTAGATAGTAAAAAAATTCAGCATCCCAACATATGCTGGATTACTAAAAAGAAACAATTTGAAACTGGCAATAATTGATGTTGAAATAAAATGATCATCTACATATGACATGCTTGTAACAATAGAGGTATAGTCTAATACCTCTGTTGTTATAGGTTATACATTTCTGGTTATTAGGCTCAACCTAGGTTGAGCCTTCTAAAATTTGAATTGTCATGTTACAAAGAAATGATATACTTATGGGAGGTTTTATTACTTGTTGGTGGAATATTATGGCTAAATTATAAATTATTATTACTTGTTTGATTAATGCTATAAAAAATATTATAAAGTGGAAAACTTTTACTAGAAAGTCCAATTTTTTTGTAGGTGTTACTACATATTTTGTATTATTATAACTTAAAACTAAAACAATTTATATGCTGGCCAGCGCTTAAGCTAATAGGACCAATAAAAATGGGAGTGAAATCCAACAAAATAATATACAAAAACGGTAGCACAGTGGGGTCGAGGCACAGTGTGGACGAGGCATAGATTTTATCGTAATAGATAACTGAAATAGAAAGAATAGTAATCATATCCTAATAACTTTTGGTGTTTAAAAAAATTCTGCAATTGAAATATTCAGAACTTAATTAATTTTAATAATTTACTTTAATTAAATGAACCAATCAAACCAAAGTAGTTAAAAA